GGCGGGGAGGGGGGCCGGTGGGGCAAGTCCTTGACCTGAAGAGGCTGGCAGTCGCGGTCGGTCGGTCCTTTGGTTCTAAAATCCGAGGAACCTTCACTTTCCTGGCTGAGGTGAGAGGGGTCAGGCGGGGAGCAGAGCCCCCCGCCCCCGGTGCCCTACTCACCCTGCGCGCTGGCCTCAGGCTTCCGCGGCCGTTCCGGGCTCCGAGCCGAGTGGGCAGGGTTTGCCTCCCCCCTCCCCGCCTCCCGGCCTCCTCCTCCGCCCCCAGCAGAGTCTCCGCTCCCTCCTTGCGGAGAGGCGGGGTTGGAGGCTCCCGAGAATCTGGGCTTTTGGCTGCTGTGATTTCACTTCCCTCCTCTCCGGCTCTGGTCTGCTGAGAAGTTTGGCTCTCTCGGGTTTCCACTTGCAGCCCCCTCATCTCCCCCACTTCTCATGTTTAAGCAGGTTCCTTCTTCCTGCCTCTCAGACAGGTGTGGGGCTTGGCCGGGCCGAGGAGAGCAGGCAGGTGGGTCAGCACCGCGGAGCCAGAATTTGGGGTTAGGACTTTAGCCTCCCCCCTGCCAGCGCAGGAAGGGATAAAGGGTGGGCTGAGAAAGTTTACCATTTTTCAACCTCTTCCTAATCTCTGTGATTTAGGAGAGGGCTGTTCCAAGAGAGATTGGAAAATCCCCAGCCTCCGCTGCGACCCAGGTTACATTAGGCCTGGCTGGGTTACTACCGCTGCAAGTCCCATGGGACAAGCGTTTTCTCGACCCCATCCCACCACACCTCCGAATGTCAGCTACACCTCTGCCGCTCCCCCTCCCCCCATCTCAGTGGCTGCTATGCCTGGAGTTCTTTTATCTGGTTTCCTTCACCAGGCTGGACTCCTCCCCCAAGCAATCTCCCAGGCCTTGGGATCAGTGGGTGTGGTGATTCAGCTCTTTGCTGTCCCCTCCCTGCCCCAGCATCCAGGCAGGCACTCCACTAGACTGTTCTACTGGGTGTCAGGACTCTGGGGTTGTTGGACACTGTCAACTGCCTCTTCCCTCCAAGATACCCCACCTGTAAATGGTGAATGGGTGGGAGGTTTGGGGCTGCAGTGGTTAGGAGAACAGGAGTAGATTTGCCTCGTGGAATTGGGGGGGGGGTGTCTCAGAGGGGGCTAGGGTTGAGCTGTTCATAGGTTTGTTTTGTTCTGTTTTTTTTTGGCTTGTTTTGTTTTGGGGTAGAATTGGAAAACTCCAGACCTGATTTAAAGAAAAAGGCTGTTGAGAAGGGAGTACTCCTGGCCTTGGCATGAATTATTCAGGCCGGAGAGGCTGACACTTGATCCTGCAGGCCATTCTGGTATCAGCAGAGCTGGTTGGCATAGGGGCTCCCCCCATGTAAGAATCAGTCAATCTCCTTTTCCTGAATTAGGGACGGCTGTTGGGTTGACTCTTCCTTGAGGTTATATTTAATAGATCGATACCACTCAAGGACAAGAGGCAGACCCTGCGGTGGTGTGGGTCTCTGGCAAGCACCACTGTTAAGGACCAGGGCTGTTGATGCTGTGGGGAGTGGAGGAGCTGGCCCTTCCCTCCTCCATTCCTCTCTCTCGCAGGTATTGGCAAGTGAGAACAGTAACTTACACATGCATGAATGGACATGTCTGTACATATGTACATGTGAGGTTGTCCACATGCAAGTACACACAGACTCATGTTCACTTGAGTGTGCATACACATGCATAGGAAGGCTTGCATAAACTTTTGCAGGGTTCCAGGGAAACTCAGATATGCCTCATGTAAGTACGTGCAGGCTCATTCATACATGTGAACATATGAACATAGATTTGAGTGCATCGTGGCATGTATTCATAAGCATATTCATACTTGAGCATTCATACTTCTGGGCCCGTATAGGTTCCAGGGTGTGGTCAGGGAGGGGCAAGTTTACAGAACCATGCATGTAAGCATGTGCATCCAGAGATTGGCCAACACACTCTGAGCCCACTCCTGCCCTTGGTCTGTGGAGGTAACCAGCTGTGGTGTCTTTTTTCATATAAGCACAAATGCTCAGAGAGATGCCATTGGGCTGGGCCCTGCAGGCCATTCTGGTATCAGCAGAGCTGGTTGGCATAGGGGCTCCCCCAACGTCAGCTGCAAGCCCCAGCTCTGTCATCTTCCCCAGAGGGAGGAACTGGCTCTTCTTCACTAGTGTGTTTCTATTGCAGGGACTAATACAAAACAGTGTATAGTTAGTGTTTGTAGATGACTGACTGACTGACTGACTGAATGTAAAGGTCTCTGCTTCCCTGTCCTGCTGCATTGAGCCCCTTTTGCTTCCAGCCTCTGAGGAATCATATGTGGTCCAACAGCCAAGGTAAGAGCCCCCACCCCCAGGTCCCCATAGTGATTGGTTCCTGGTTGGCTGGTGGCCCCCCTGTGACAGGGCCGCAGGACAGTAGGCAGCCTTGATTGGAGGTGCTAAATATCTCAGTTGGGGAAAGGAGGCCCAGAGAGAACCAAGAACCATTAGGTACCAGAGCACAAGACAATGATTGTGTTTTATAAGTGGGAAACAGGTTAGAGGGCCAGGGACTTGCCCCAAGGCCAGTGGTTTTCAGGGCTTTGCCTGGAAACCTTGCTCCAGGGTCCATGCCCAGAGCCTTGTCCAAGGTAGTGGATGCATCTGAGAGGGTCCAGCACCACAGGGAAATCTCAACCTGACCCCAGGGAACTGAGGCCAGGAACAGATGCTGGGGTGGGTCTGGTGTGACCTTGGACCTTTCTCTACCTCTGGGCTGTCAGCTACTTCTGGAAAGTAGGTGGGCTTCTGAATTCCTATCCTTCCTAGTCCTCTCAAAGCTATTTTGATAAAGTGAATGGAAAGTGCTTTGAAATAGGAAGAGCCTCCAGCTGGCATGGTTCAGCGGTTGAGCATCGGCCTATGGTCCAGGAGATCGCGGTTCGGTTCTCAGTCAGGGCACATTCCCAGGGTTGCAGGCTCGATTCCCAGGGTGTGTGTGTGTGTGTGTATGGGGGTGTGTGTGTGTGTGTGCGCGCGCGCGCAGGAGGCACCTGATCAAGGACTCTCTCATCACTGATGTTTCTATCTCTCTCTCCCTCTCCCTTCCTCTCTGCCATGTTTTCACCAAGTGGCTCTGGAAGAGGCATTGCCCTTTTCTGTGTCTAATTAGCCCCCGTTTCCTTTTGCATTGTTCTATCTTTCTCCCTCCCCAATACAAATTCATGGTAGGTAGTAAAAGGAGTGAGTTGCCATTTGCTGTCTCTCTAGCCTCCTGCCCGCCCTCCCCTCTTTGTGCAGGCATCCCCTTCTCTGTCCAGGTTCCCCCTGGAGCCAAGTCTGTTCTCTGGAGGAAGAGCCCTGTCCATCTTTGGGTTGTCAGTGTTCAGCATGTAATAGGCACTCAATAAATGTATGTCCAGTTGCATTTGGGGCTGTGCGTTTATTCCATGAGGCATCCAGTGGAAGTATCTTTGCTCAGATTGTTTGTCCCACCTGGGGTGCTCTCTTCCCTTGACTCTGTTTCTCCAACCAGCCCATTGGCCCTCAAGGTTCAGTTTGAGTTCTGCACCTTCCAGGAAGCCTTCATGGCTTCCTTCTCTCCTTTGAATTTCACTTAGCAGTCAGAGGGCTAGAGCTCCCCTGCATCCCATGATTGTCAGCAACTGGGGCTCAGGAATGGTCTGATTTTCTGTATTGTTAGCACACAGCTCAGAGCTCAGCATGGAGAAGGCACTAGGGAACATCGTTGAATGAAACGATGATTTAAAAATCTCTGGCTTGATCATCCCATCCCTGTGAGGCAGGCTAGGTGAGGATCCCCCATCTATACTTTACACCAGGAGACACTTGCCCAGAAAGGTTAAGTGCTTTTCCCCAAGGTTGCACAGCTGACTGGACGGGGGAGCCTGACAGGAGCTCAGGCTTCCTGCTCCTCTCCTTTGCTACAGCCCTCCCCATCCTAGGCACTTTCTCTCTGGGGAGTGTGACTGGGTCAGATCCCAGGGGAGCCTGTGGACAAAGAGCTCAGGCCCTGAGGGTTTCCTTAGGACTCAATAATAGAGTCACCCCAGCCCCACCCAAGCTGAGTTATAGTCTGCCCTGTGCTGGGTTGAGAATCCCCCATGTCAGGCACTTGGGACCCCAATTCTTGAATTTATTATCCCACTAAGCCCCAGAGACCCTCTTCTAGCCATCCAGGGTGCTGTTCCCTCCCCTATTCTAGTTTCTCCACTGGGGTCCTTTTTACCCCACAAAGGCCCTGCCCTCGGTAAGCGCCACTTCCTTGGTAGGAAGCCTGGAGAGGTTTGGCAACTTTCCTGAGGTCACTCAGCAGGTATCCCCTTCCCCATCCACCTCCCACTCTATTTTGTCCATTAAAGGGGTCTGTGGCAAGTCTACCTTCCTAGATTTAAGTTTCCCCACCTGCAAAGAAGGTGTGTGTGCGTGTGTGTGTGTGCGCGCGCGCATGTGTGTGTGTGTGTGTGTATGGGATGGGCTTGGAAGGCTTTTGAGTCCTGTGACCCTTGGCCTTTTAGGGATGGAGGT